CAAGTAATTTGTATGGAGTTTGTTTATGATAACAAGAAAAGGAATAAAATAGTTCCCCTGCAGCCAGCAGAATTAGTCCCCCCTCAGCAACAGATTACTCCAGTAACAAAGGACCTCCAAAATAAAATACCATCCCAGCAGCTACAACAGATCTCCCAGCAACCAGCATCAATGAGATCCCTCCCTCAACAGTAGCTCACTTCCAGCAACATTTGAGCCTCATGAACAACAGACCTCCCCAGCAACCATAGACCACTACACAAAAAATAGATTCCCTTCAGTGACAATAGATCCCCCAGAAGCAACAACAGTAGCAGAGCCATACAAAGCAGTGTGCTTACAGTGGAAAGCACACACACAGCACACAGTAAAACAGCACACAGTTAACCCTTTGATCCCCCCTCATGTTAACCCCTTCCTGCACAGTGCCATTAGTACAGTGTCAGTGCTTTTTATTAGCACTGATCACTGTATTGGTGTCACTGGGGATGTCATTGACACCAAGTCAGTTCCCCCCACCAGTGTCAGAATTCCCACCACATTCCCGCTATAAATCGCTGATGGGCAACAATGAGACGACCCCCAAAACAGGAATTGTTTTACAGGTGGAGGCCACTGACATTTTTTTCCCTACTCATCTTTTCTGTTTTTCACTCGGTTTGCATTTGACTAGGGTCAGTATCACTACTGGTAGCATGAGGCCATACCTGGACCCTACAGGGGTTGCACAGGCAGTCCAACTCCTCCAGGATGGCACATCAATACGTGCCAACTCCAGAAGGTTTGCTGTGTCTCCCAGCACAGTCTCAAGAGCATGGAGGAGATTCCAGGAGACAGGCAGTTCCTCTAGGAGTGCTGGACAGGGCCGTAGAAGGTCCTTAACCCATCAGCAGGACCGGTATCTGCTCCTATGTGCAAGGAGGAACAAGATGAGCTCTGCCAGAGCCCTACAAAATGACCTCCAGCAGGCCACTGGTGTGAATGTCTCTGACCAAACAATCAGAAACAGACTTCATGAGGGTGGCCTGAGGGCCTGATGTCCTCTAGTGGGCCCTGTGCTCACTGCCCGGCACCATAGAGCTGGATTGGCATTTGCCATTGAACACCAGAATAGGCAGGTCCACCACTGGCACCCTGTGCTTTTCACAGATGAGAGCAGGTTTCCCCCTGAGCACATGTGACAGACGTGAAAGGGTCTGGAGCGTGGAGAACATTCTGCTGCCTGTAACATGGTTCACCATGACCGTTCTGGTGGTGGGTCAGTGATGGTCTGGGGAAACATATCCATGGAGGGACACACAGACCTCTACAGGCTAGACAATGGCACTCTGACTGCCATTAAGTATGGGGATGAAATCCTTGGACCTATTGTCAGACCCTACACTGGTGCAGTGGGTCTTGGGTTCCTCCTGGTGCAGTGGGTCTTGGGTTCCTCCTGGTGCAGTGGGTACTGGGTTCCTCCTGGTGCAGTGGGTCCTGGGTTCCTCCTGGTGCAGTGGGTCCTGGGTTCCTCCTGGTGCACCTCCTGACACATGCCCGGCCTCATGTGGGGAGAATATATGCAGGCAGTTCCTGGAGGATGTAGGAATTGATACCATTGAACGGCCCCCACGCTCCCCTGACCTAAATCCAATAAAACCCCTCTGGGATGTCATGTTTCTGTCCATCCGACACCACCAGGTTGCACCTCAGACTGTCCAGGAACTCAGTGATGCCCTGGTCCAGATCTGGGAGGAAATCCCCCAGGACACCATCCGTGGTCTCTTTAGGAGCCTCCCCCGACGTTGTCAGGCATGCATACAAGCACGTGGGGGCCATACAAACTACTGAGGACCAATGAAATTTCAGCAAAGTGGACTCGCCTGCTGCATCATTTCTTCACTTTCATTTTCGGGGTGTCTTTGAATTCAGTCCTCTGTAGGTCGATCATTTTCATTTCCATCCAACGATGGGGCGTCCTTACGTTCCTCACCCATCCCCCCGTCCATGTCAGTATAGAGATCCAGCAGGAGATTCATCCCCATTGAGATCTGACGGGTTTTCAAAGTCTTCCTTTAGTTTTTTTTGTGCAGTGTATATATATATATATATATAGTAAATAATGTGAGTCACTGGCTGGCAGGTTTGTGGACAGTACATACGTGTCACCGAGGTCTCTTACCTACACGTGGCGAGGGGCTTCAGGATTTGTGCCTGCAGCGGACAGAGGAAACATTTTGTTTCCTCAGATCCTACCCCTGATTCACACCAATGTGTTTTTTAGGGCTTTTTGCAGAAACGCACTATACTCCATTTACCATGGTTTCCTACGTTACTATTTTTGAGCTGCTGCGTTTTTAGAAAGGGTCGGGGACTTTTATAAACGCAAAAAGCAGCATTTTTGCTACAATCGAGATCAACGGAGAAGCTGCTGAAATGCATTAGTGCGTTTTTGCCGCATATTGCGTTTTATTTTACTTGCAAAAAAAAATGTGCATTTATTAATGTTTGTCTAAAAAAGTGAACTTATTCTTTAAAAGAAATGCTAGAGTGCATGGAGCCATAAAAAAAAAAACGGATCAAAAGTAAAAAAAGGCAGAGGTGTGAAGCAAGCCTTAGTAAGATCTTGTATAGATCCTGGAGGCTTTGTATGGTTTTGGGTGGAATAAAGCCTCCAGTCCTTGGTTTACCTGTTAGCCAGATCTCTCTAATCAGCCATTTATAGATGTGGGCTGAGTATGGAGAACTCTGCTGTTTGAGAGCCTGACGCTGGGGAGAAGACTGACTTGTGGCAGAGTACAGGAAGGGTATGTGTGGCTTGTGCTGGGGTATTATATATATATATATATATATATATATATATATATATATTTGTAGTAACTTTGTAAAGTATTCCTTAGGAAGGAGTTTGTGTTGTGGATGTAGATCTTTTCTTTGATGTTTGGTTCCACTCCCATGATATTTTTCTTTTTATTCATAAGCCCATGTAATATAGTGGAGATGACACTGACTGTGAGGGGGTTGGGTACTGGGGGGCAATACAGCACTAGTAATATGTACTGCAATCAGCAAAACAAACTGTCTTAAATTTTTTTTTTTTATTAAGTAAACTGGGGTGCTTGTTGACTTGGGAGGGCTTTCATATTCTAAGTCCCCCATATCCATGGGTCAAGGGATGTGGGAAGGAGGCCCTTGTGATCAATATGGGGACAAGGTGCTTTGTTAGAAGGGTGTTCTGAATGGTTCAGGCAAGTGGACTGGTATAGTTCAGAAGGGGGGTACATGCTCACTGCCCCCTTCCCTGGACAGCCAGGCTGTATACTTGGGAAGTGGGTCTGAAAAGGATTTTGGGATTACCCTATGCTTTTTACTTTTTTAAAATCTATGCCAGACTCCTATCTAGGATAAAGATTTGGCATGGAAATTGTGGGTGTGTGGTTTCTTACAAAAGAGAAGGGTTGGGGAGAGGTGCCAAGCCACTAACAGTGTAGCAAATTTTATTAAATTAAAAAGGGTATAAAATACAGTAATTATGCACTCAGACATCACTGATAAAAAGCATTGGATTGAGCTCCAAAAGATGACCCCAGTCCAGTCCACATCAGTGCCACTGTCAGGAGCCCTGTGGAACCAAAGCAGGGATCCAAGCAAGTTGCCCGGGGAGCTCCAGCTGGAGACCAGATCTGTTGGAGAGCTGACCAAGGAGCTGTTAAATGTCCAGGGTGCTGTGTCCAATCGGAATGTGTTTCGGAAGCCAAATCGCACCACCTTCATCAGCTGGGTTCATTTGGCCTCCAAAATGTCCTCCCTGGATGTTTGATAGCTCTCCAACAGATCTGGTCTCCAGCTGGAGCTCCCCAGGCGTTTGCTTGGATCCCTGCTTTGGCTTCTCATGGCTCCTGACAGTGGCACTGATGTGAACTGGACTGATGTCTCTTCCAATGCTCCTTACCTGCAGTATCTGTGAGGGCATAATTATTGAATGTTCTATTTTTTTTTTTTTTTTTTTTTTTTTTTTTTTTTTTTTTTGCTCCTCTCCCCATCCCTGTTTTGCTGTTTTGTAGCGTCTAGGTTCTCAGCCCGCTTAGAAGGCAGCCTTCCCCAGCCAGTGGTGGTAGCAACAAAAACTATTGAACCTTACCTCTGGGATTATATTTTGTATGTATAATTTTTTTTTTTGTGTATATTTAAAGTGGATGTACCATTACACACAAATGGTTGATGGTTGTATTACCTATATGCAGTTTTGTAGATCCACATGTTGATGATTTTCAATTATAAGTCCCCCATCTACAGGTGCTCCAAGTGTTTGCATGTGGGGTTTTTGGGGTGTGTGTGTGTTTTTTTTTTTTTTTTTTTTTGTTTTGTTATTGTGCACCATAACCAAGAACCATGCAGCTGCTGGAATCCTTGCAACCAATGATTTAATTGGTTGCTAGGATGCCAGCATGTTGGTTAAGGGTGTCATTGGTTGCTAGGACACATGGCATTATTGGTTACTAGAATGTAGGTGGCTCCTTGCATCCTAGCAACCAAAGATGCATGCTGCCTGCACAGCAGGAAGTAGTGAGACTAAATGAATGGCTTCTGGCTACAGCCAGAGGTTTGATTTAGTGGGTGATCACCCTAGTCAGTTCATAAATGTGTGAACAACCAAAGTCTGCATATATCCCGGGTAAAGAGAACTCGTTCTTTACATGCACACAGGTAAATGAGGGGTCCTAACCCTTTACCTGTCTTGTATAGTGGTGTTTGGAAATCCAGTTGTAGAGAGGCGATCAAAACACGAGCAGGGAGTGCTTGAGTTTTTAGAAAGCCCATTACCTGCTCCAAAGTGGCACAGAAATACTCTTTGCCTTTCCTAAGCCAACCCCCATAGTTCACTTAACGTTTCATGCATTTAGAATCCCCTGTTTTTTTACAACTTTTTTTTTTTTTTTTTTTTTTTTATTTTAGATTGGAGTTCCGAAACGCTTGGTCTGCTGTCTTCTCCAATAGTCAATCTTCTACTGCTGTGAGCCATGATTGCCCTTGGAGTCTTCCTCGTTCTTTGTTTTAATTTAGTCCAGGGTCAATTCCCACGAGCCTGCACCACAGATACTGCAATTCAGACAAAAATCTGTTGCCCGCTTTGGAAGGATGGCAGCCCCTGTGGTTCCAACTCAGGCCGCGGCAGATGCCGTAACCGGATTACAATTACCCCTTTTGCAGCTGGCACAGTGCCCCAATATGACGACGACCGCCTGGACTGGCCACATTTTTACTATAACTCCACTTGCGAGTGCTTCAAAGACTACAGAGGCTATGACTGCGGCGACTGTAAGTACGGGTATTTTGGAGAACAATGTGACCGCAAAAACACCGTTGTGCGCAAAGAAATTCGAGAACTTTCTTTTCTGGAAAGGAAAAAATTCTTCAGCTACTTGGCACTGGCCAAAACCACAATAAGTCAAAATTTTGTCATCTTATACACTGGAGACCGCCATCACAAGGACACGTACCGCTTTATTGATGCCTTCATTTATGATGTTTTTTCTTGGATCCATTACTACTCCATAAAACCACTTCTGTTAGATGGGGACTTTCTTTTGACCAGAAACTACGCCCATCAAGGTCCAGCTTTTCCCGGTTGGCATCGGCTGGGCCTCCTCTTCCTAGAGCGACAAATTCAGCTCTTGACAGGGGATGAAAACTTTTCCCTTCCTTATTGGGACTGGCGAGGAGAGAAAAAATGCTCCATCTGTAACGATGACTTCTTCGGGGATAATGACGTGCAAGGGTTTATCAGTAGCTACTCCCATTTTGCCACTTGGAAGGTAGGTGGGGAACCTTTCTCAGGTTTGTACTGCTCTTCAGGGCTCTGTTAGAGAAACTTCCCCTCACTTTGTTGGCATCTTCCTCAAAAAAAAAAGCAAACTGCTTGTGCTGTTGAATTTGTCCTCGCTTAGATCTTGTAAAATATTGTCACCATGACCATTAGTGATGGACAATCTCTCTAAAGTGGAGCATTCGCATCTGCATTGCTTTCCCCAGTTTTGCACAGAGCAAGGATCTATATGGAAACCCTTGCCAATCTGTTAGAAATTTGGACCAGACCTGTAGACAGGTAGTCTCTATTTTCCAGAACAGGTGACACTGGACCGCAGCGGCAATGCCGAGGGGAGGAAGTGTAGAGAAATTGGGTTTCTGGCTTCCTCTGTCTGAAAGGACAGTGATCTGGTTGGATGCTCTTGTCCCATGTGACCCTGGTGGCAGGGCTGCCACGGGGCACTACAGTCAACCTGATGGGGTGCACCCCAGAAAAATAGTTTTTTTACTATGCTTCAGTTATGAATGAATACAGTGACTGATTGGTACCTTGTTCATTTAGGAAAGGAAGGGGCTGGTAAATGACATTTATCGGATCCTTCCCTCACTCCACCTTGAAGGGTCCTATAGTGTGCTTGCAGCTTGGTGGAAAGGAGGGAAGCCGGCAGCACTGAGGGGGTGGGGGCACACAGGGGATGGCTGGGCAGCAGCAAGGGGGGGGGGGGGGGGGGACATATATGGTGCACAGGGAGAGTGATGGGTCTTGTGGGGGGGGGGGGGGTTGATAATTACTGGGACTGACCCCTGAATGGCTCTCTGCAGCAGCTGAAAGCCAGTGGGAGGAAAAGAAGAATAGCTTTCAGCTGCTGCAGAGTCATACAGGGGATTGGTCCCCCCCCCCCCCCCATGCCTATCACCCTCCCTGCCCACATCTGGCTTTTCTAGCTGCCAGGGCCCTTTACAGAGGGACTGGTGTTTCTCCGTTATCCACGGTCCTGCCTGATTTCCATCTTAGGTCAAGCAGAGTTTAAGTCTCTTCCCACAGGTTTTGGCATGCTTTGTGAGTGGCTAGCATAGGGACAGGTTCCCTGTCAGTCAGCACTACCAATTGGGAAAAGTTCCAATGAAGGAGGGAGAGAGTAGGGACTGTTTACCTTCTCAGGAAGCTTCCCCTTTTTGGTTGGATTAGCCAGGCTGTACTTCGCTTGTCATTGTGGACAACTGAGTCTACAAACCTCTGTCTCTGCATTGAGCTGTTGTAAGTGATATTGGTCAGGTTAGCCCTCCTGTCAGGCCTGGTCATACTGTTGAACTACTTGTACAATATATTGTTTTTAGCAAATCGGGACTCTGTGCTTCCCACCCCGCTGCACCTGCCCACCACACCCGCTGCACCTACCCAACACCCCTGAATACTGTTGATTGCAGCATAGCATATATCCATAATGGCCAGTTGTAAATACATGGTTTGACCATTTTGCAGCATGCACAAAGCCCTGATGGTGCTAATAAAGACTTGGGATGAAGTTAAATATCGGCAATGAGCAGGTTTTGTCCAACCTAATTTCCTGACCCCAGACAGGCTTTTAGCTGAATGGGAACACATTCCCACAGATCCCAAATCTTGAGTCCTTTCCAGAAGGGTTGAGGCTGTTGGGAGTCAGTGGCATGGCCAGTGCTGTAATACCCATGGTTATGGGATGTCCAAAAACCTGTAATGGTCAAGTATCCGGTGGAGATTTGTGCTAGTAGGAATGATTTGGGGGGGATTGCTAGGAGGGGGGATTTGGGGGCATTTTTGCTGGGAAAGGGGATTTGGGGGCACATTGTGTGGCCTGGGGGTAAGCAGATTTGGTGTACTAGAGGGGGTGTGTTAGGTGTGGTTGGTTTTTTTTTTTTTTTTTTAACTTTAACAGAACCGTGCCAGCCTGCATTGCATAGGGGATATCGCTTCCCTGTCCGAACACTGACCACAGACCATACAAGACTAGACACCAGTCTTGATGTAAACCAGGAAATAGACTACTTTTTATTTTAACACAGTGTACAAGATTATACTTTCAAGGGAACCCCCCCCCCCCCCCCCCCCCTATAATGACACAGCCAATACAAACATACATCCCATAATTTGCTCCCATGCAAGACACACTAGAACAATGGGATGGAACCACATGGCATTAAATCAACAACCCCCCCACCCTAATAGGAAAGATCACCCTGTACCCCTAACAGGCACAGGGTGATTTGCACATAATAGGGATATGGGGAGCTGAGACAGGGGTCTCCCCACCTCTCCAAAGTGAGCTGTGTTCCATGGGCCCCCCCACTCAAAGTGACTCCCATCACACCAACAATGCTTCTACATTTGGGGGGGGGGGGGTTTGACATCTTCACCCATGCCACTAGATTGCCTTGTCCCGCACTGTGAGTGGCTGTCCTGCTACACTGAATGCAGGAGGTTGGCTACTTGGCACCATTTGAAGAGAGACTTGAAAAAGGGGGGACCATACCCCAGAAACATTGTCTAGGCAACAGGTGTACAAATCTGTTCCCCCTTCCCCCCCCCCCCCCCCCCTTCTGTTATCTGTGCCAGCTCTGTGTATAGCCGGGGGGCATGCATGGTAGGTCAAGCTCAGTCTCGTGGCGGGGGCTCAGAAGCTTTGGCAGCTTACTCCAACTCCATTCATCTTGTGAGTGGGCTCCATCCTAATGGAGGACTTGTTTCATCCGCTGGGAGAGGTAGCATCTAAGAGGCAGTGGTTGTATAAGCCTGCATACAGAATATCTTAACATCAGTGCAATAATTTTTTAAGTTGGTGTTTTGATAACATCTACCACAATGGGGCGATCGGACTCTCTAGGTTTTGTTTATCCAGTGTCCATTACCAGCTGGAATCTGCAGCTACAAGTGTATACCTATACCAGGGGCGACTGACCATTTGGAAACTCTGGCACTGCCTGAGTTCCTGGGGTCAGTAGGGGGGCCCCATGAGATGCCCCTGGTACCTTTTTTCATAGGCTTGTTTTGAGCAAGGACACTGGGGCCCCATGATCCCCTATTGCCCAGGGGCCCCATGAGTTGTCAGTCTGCCCCTGACCTATACCATTGATGGACTCCACATACATGACCAATGACTGAATTCATGGACTATGGCGATGTGCACACTGGCCCAGTGGTGGTTTTGATTGCTACCATTCAGAGTGCTTTGCATCTTCAATCAATGCAAAGCATTCTCTGATTTGACCAGGTGAAGCACATGGCTGTACGTACACTTGGCTATACATGGGCACTGGAATTTAACATAAAAATGGGAGTATTTAAAAAAATTCAGCAAATAAGCATTCATCTAACGAGGCTCTTTCCCTTAGTCTATTTGCAGCGGGTACAACTATATTGATGTTTACTGCCTGAGTGCTGTAGACTATAATCAGATGGAAAGACTACACAGGAAGCCTGGAGTTGAAAATGGAACCTTCCTACCCACCTTCCAAGATGTAGAGGACACGCTGAAATGGGAAGCCTTTGACACCATTCCCTACTACAGGACCTCAAAGAAAAGCTTCCGTAATGCTTTAGAAGGTCAGCAAACAGTATATTAACCTATATAAAAAAAAAAAAAAAACAGTTGGCTTTTGGTTTTGTTACAATGTCACTGTGGGGATTTCACCTTATTCCCTGTCTTGGGGAGATTTACTAAAACTGGAGCCCTCCGAATCGGGTGCAGCTGTGCACAGTAGCCAATCTGCTTCTAACTTCAGCTTGTTTAATCACACCCCCCCACCCTCTTCCTGTCTGGACACTTTCACACCCCCCTTCCTGTCCAGGACAATTTTCAGCTTTCAGCGCTATCACACTTTGACAATTGCGCAGTCATGCAACGCTGTACCCATATGAATTTTTTAGCATTCTCTTTAGACAAAGCTTTATTTTGGTGGTTTATTTTATTCACCACTGGGATTTTTTTTTTTTTTTTGTAAGTCCACTTTTGGCTGAAAAGTGTCATTGCAGCAACTGAAAATGGTACTCAGTAGTTTGTATGGCCCCCACGTGCTTGTATGTAAAAAAAATCTCAACGTCAGGACATGAGACAGATGGTGTCCTGGGGGATTTCCTCCCACATCTGGACCAGACATCACTGAACTCCTAGCAGTACAGTCTGAGGTGCGACAAACCGTCAGATGGACCAAAACATGACATCCCAGAGGGGTTCTATTGGATTTAGGTCAGGTGAGCGCGTGGGGGCCATTCAGTGGTATAAATTCCTTCATCCTCCAGGAAATGCCTGCATACTCCCCCCACATGCCGGGCATTGTTCTGCACCAGGAGGAACCCAGGACCTGCTTGAGGGATGTGGTCTTGGACCAGGGCATCACTGAAGACCCTGGACAGTCTAAGGTGTAACTTGTGACGTGACGTCGGATGTGTTTTCCTGTTACTCGGACATCCTAGACATGGACTAAAGGACTTGGATTCTTGATGGTGAGCGTTTTGGCCCTTGTTTATGTATGGATTTTTAAATTTGGATCCCCTCTTTATCATGGGGAACCCCAGATTTGTAGTGCTGCTGAATCCAAGCCCCTATGTTCAATTAATGACCCAGTTTGCTGTTTCAAAGAGCTGAACCGAGCACCTCTCCTAAATCACCCCTTCAGATAAGACAAGTGCCCAAAGTTCCGTACCCTGTCCAAAACTAAAAAATAAACTCAACTGTGATATGTTGAGTAAAGGACCCCACAGTATAGAAATGCATGTGCCTGAACCTGTAAAATCACAGGGGCCCCATAAAAAAACTTGGGTAACCAATGTTTAAACCTCTTATGTAACATGGACCAACGCTATCTGGCCATTGCAAAGTAAGGGTTTTTTGCCAACTCTTTATTGGCTTCTGGTACCAAAAACATGACGTTTTTTTTTTATCCAAGCACCACAAACTGAAAACACTAATTTCATACATATTCAAAGCAATTGTATCAATCTAGATCTCCACGCTTTTTTTTTTTTATTTTGTTGGGGAAAAAATTGCCATGGCTACTTTGGAATAAGGGCAGGTGATTCATGTAGCATTTACTTCCTGGAATCCATCTGTCCTTGGCTCAGGCATGCAGGCAGGAGGATGTGCTTGGCTTAGAGCCCCACTCCAGATGGAAGGAAGGAAAAATGCCCATGAAGACTCCCTGGTATGGCATAATTTTTGCCTAGGCCAGATATCGGAAAGCAACTGAAGAAATGTGAAAAGATAGGAAGATATATTTTTTTTTTTTTTTTCTTAAGTCTAGCAGCGTACAAATTAAAATGGTTAAGGTTGATGAATTTAGTCCCACTTTTGGTAAAGACGTGGGAGCTGGAACGAAAAATTTAACCAGATATTGCCTTATGATCTTTTGTAGGCTTCTTGAACCCAGCAGATGGCACGACCCTGCGGCGTAGCATGCATAACCAGGTCCATATCTTTATGGGTGGGACGATGTCTGAGGTTCCAATCTCCAGCAATGATCCCATCTTTGTACTTCACCATGCTTTTATTGACAAGTAAGTGCTTTTTTTTGTTTGTTTTTGTTTTTTTTTGTCACTAAATCTGTTACATCAAAGATGAGCAACTTGCTAGAAAGATGGGCCTTCTACTATGGCCTATGACATCACAAAGGGTCACCTCTAATCAGTATTTGTAATGCTACAGAAAATTGGGCTGTAAACATAACGGGTGGTTAGAGGAGACAGACTGGAGACGTGTTATATCCTTTAGATAAGGGGTGGCCAACTGTGGCCCTCCAGCTATAGAACTAGTCCCATCATGCCTCTGCCTTTTAGGAGTCATGCTTGTAACTGTCAGTTTTGCAATGCCTCATGGGTCTTTTAGTTCTGCAACAGCTGGAGGGGCCACAGTTGCCCACCCCTGCCATAGATTATACAATTTCCTTTTTCCTATAATTCTTGATTGTCGCCAGGAATCTCTCCCCAGTGCTATTCTGTTCTACCGGCAGAGAGAGCCTTCTCTCCCGGCAACACGGTGATCTCTACTGCTGACTATAATTGCTGGTAGTGATGCATGATGGGGAAAAAAACTCCGACATTCTGGTTGTACTGAAGATATTGATGGGTCAACTTCAATACAACCAGCCTGTCCATAGATGGGTCAAATTTTGCCTAGTACCCGCTGAACCCTTTGTGATTTGATCCAGCTATGGCTGGCTTTAGATATTATTATGGTCATTAGTGTGGTCCTTTTTTTTTTTTTTTTTTTTTTTTTTTTTAACTAGAATTTCTTAACTTGCACTGCAGTGATATCGGTAGACATGCAGAACAAAAAATTTAGTTTGTTTCAACTTAAAGTTGCTAATTTAGTTTGTTGCATTCATAAGTTTTGAAATTCGAATTTCGAAAGACAGCTGTAGTCTCCTATTCCTTTTCTATTAAATGTTGGTCTAATCTATTTTTATTTTTCTATTTTGAATTTCTAAAAAGGCTATTTCTTGGCCCTCTGGGGCTTCTTTCTGAAATTTGAATTTTCAGAAAATTGGGTCTCTTTTGGCCCTCGGCCCTGTTTCGTGGTTTTTGTTTTCTTCAAATTTTGAAAGACTGCTATAATTAGTTTAAAGGAAATCTGTGTTTACATTTGACATTTTGTTCAAAATGTCTGACTCTCCGAAATAATAAATTGCCAATTTCAATTCAGAACAAAATGAACCGCACAGGTCTATGTAAGGGTCAGAGTAAGAAACCAGCATAGGGGGAAACTCTGGCTTCAAAAACACCAGAAATGTAGAATTCTGAAGCGATTTCCTGGGCTGAAATTCTGGAAGATGTAGGAGAAACAAACTAGAAAAGGTATATTGTCAGGAGTTTGCCAGTTTAGAAACCTGCTGGGGGTCTCTAACCCCTTTTTTTAGGACCGCCTAATGTATAAAGGCAGCTGCATTGTGGGCCTAATGCCGGCATGCTGCAAATGTGTTGCTGTGGTGTCTGTACTGTGACCAACAATCAGGGTGGGTAAGTGACTCCAAATGGGTATCCTCCCTGTGCAGCTGATCTGTCATGTGTTTGGGAGCCCTCCTACTGGCCTTGGGCATTGTGGGTCACCTAAAGGATGGCTTCTGGTATCATAAAAGTTAAATTTTCCTAATTAAAGTGTGTATTTTATATATAAATATTCTGGTTGTGTACATTGCTTAAAGTCCATAAAATATTTGTAGGATCTTCGAGGAATGGCTTCGCAGACGCAAGGCAACGCCAGACATGTACCCTGATAATGAAGAACTAGGTCACGGTCGTAACGATTGCTGCACTCCGTACTTTCCGTGTTACAGGAACAAAGACCTCCTTCGCACCTCCGACAAATTTGGGTACACCTACTCTAAATACCAGGGGTTGTAACTCTCCCTTGAAGTAAGGCTTGAGGTTGGGATCTGCCATTTTGTGATGGAAACCCTGTCAAATGACTCTGATCTCAAGACCACAACAAGATCTCATGGAGTTTGTTCAGCAGGTTCACCTCCAAATGATCTCTATTGGCTTTTGAGCGTTATTTATGTTAAAAAGAAAATATAACTTTAATAAAAAAAAATAAAATGACATTAATGGTGTCTTGTATTTATCTGAAAATGCCACTTAATTGGCTGTAATTGTGATTTGGTAACATCTACACCAGCCCATGGGAATGCTGGGGCACATGAACCAAAGCTATCTATTTAAAATTCTGATTTGTACTCTTAAAAAGTGAAACAAAAATTTCATTTTTTTTCACTTTGAAAAGGAATTTTTCATTTTTATGTTTTTACTTTGAAATTCTCCAAGCATGTTGTTTAACCACTTCAAGGCCAGACACTTGTACCCCCTTCCTGTCCAGGCCAGCTTTCAGCGCTATCACTTTGACAATTGCACGGTCATGCAACACTGAACCCATATGAATTTTTTAACACTTTTGAGACCAACAACTTTATTTTTTAGTATGTATTCACCACTGGACTTTAATTTATAGCAAAAAAGTCCAAATTTTGGAAGTTTCTTATAAAATTTTGTAAATCTTGGCCAAAATTGATTCAGTTATCTTTTTTAGTAAAAAAAAAAAAAACCCAAGTTGGCTTATAACCAAAAATTTTTTTTTTTTTTTTTTATATACAATCACCCTAGCAGTACAGTCACAATGGTGACACTGTACTACTTGTGGGGGGTGATGAATTTTTTTTTTTTTTTTTTTTTACTGATTGCTTTTACAGCCATTATGGGTGTAAAAGCAATCATTTCTCCTCTCTGGCTGCATTCCTGCAGCCACTGAGAAATACTGTAGTCTGCCCCTGCTGTGATTGGTCACAGCTTGTCACTTGGTACAGGGCTATTCACAGCCTTGTACCATGTGACATTTCACATGTAATAAAACAATGTCAGAAGTGACATCTTGCTTACTACTCTTGTGATCACTGGCCAACCAGTGATCACAGGTCCCATACAATGATCCTCCGGGCATCAGATCGTGGTGCCGCAAGCTCCCAGGGAGTACACACAAGCAGAGACCATTTAAAAAAAAAAAAAAAAAAAAAAGCCACCCACCCCTGCAATGATCCCGTCCAGCCATTTATATACATGGTCTGGAATGGAAGTGGTTCTAAAGGCTCAAGGTTTGTGTGGGAGTTTAACCACTTGCCTACTGGGCATTTATACCCCCTTCTTTACCAGGCCAATTTTCAGCTTTCAGCGCTGTTGCACTTTGACAATTGCGCGGTCATGCAAGATTGTACTCGTATGAAAATTTTTTTTTTTATTTTTTTTCCTCACAAAGCTTTCTTTGTGATTTAATCGCTGCTGGCGCTTTACTTTTTGCGCTATAAACAAAGTGCAAACAATTTGAAAAGTTTCTTTGTTTCTATTATAAAATTGTTCAAACGGGTATTTTTTTTTTTTTCTCCTTCACTGATGTATGTTGATGGGGTGGCACTAATGGGCACCAATCATCAGTAGGTGTGTGGCTAAGGTGACTACACGAACTGTAACAGAACCGGACCTCCAACTGCACTTGGGTATTTCCGTTAGACTCCTGCTTCCCTGTCCAAACAGATCCACGGACACCACCGCTGACCATACAAGAGGAGACAACACCAGTCTTGTATGAAAGACCGGAAATAGACTGCTTTATTTTAACATAAATACAAGATCTATACACAGGGTGGGGAAATACACCCAGTAACAGGAAACACATCAGCAGGCCGTGCCATCAGGGGGAAGGGCTGCTGGAACCCCCCCCCCACCAAGCCAGTACAAACACATATATCCCACATTAGTTTACTCCCCATGCAAGACACAATCAGGGACTGGGAGCAAGACACACAATAGAACAATGGGATACACCACATGGCAGTAGACAATACACAAACCCATACATCCCAGAATAGTTCCCTCCCAAGCAAGACACAATAGAATAATGGGATGCAGCTGCATGGCATGAAACAATTAACACCCTCCCACCCCAATATTAGAACATTCCACCCTGTACCCCTAACAGGCACAGGGCTACTTACACATAATAGGAATATGGAGAGCTAAGACAGAGGTCTCTCCACCTCTCCAAAGGGGGATGTGTTCCATGGGCCCCCCACCCAAAGTGACTCCCGTCACATGAACATCATGATGTTTTCTAATCCGAAGCCCTGGATGAGCCGGGGAGGTTCGTCTCCTGCTCAAAGAACGCAACACAGCCTTTGGTTCTGGCTGACACCGTAAGCCTCCCGGTCCCAGACCTAATCTGAGGAGGGGAATATGTAAGGCAAAATACACATACAAACAGCGGATTGAGGAATATTTCAACTCCGCAGATCCTCGACGCATGTGGCAAGGAATACTGGCTATTACTGACCAGAATTCACCCAACAGAACACCTTCAACCAGCTCTGCCTCGCTCCCCGATGAGTTCATTCTGGTTTACGCTCGCTTTGAAAAGGGGAATATGGAGCCATGCTCAAAGCTGAGCTGTTACCAGGTGAGCAGCCACCCACTTTCCCAATAATATTGGGCAGGGTGAATGCACGGAAAGCAGCCGGCCCTGACGGCATCTCTGGCCATTTACTCAGTGCATGTGCAGTGCAGCTGGCTGAGGTCTTTACAGATATTTTCAATCTGTCTTTGGCCCAGTCAATTGTTCCCGCGAGCTTCAAGTCTGCTATCATTTGTGCCAGTGCCAAAGCATTCCATTGCAACAGATTTAGGTCATTTTCGTCCTGTTGCACTCACTCTGTCATCACAAAGTCCTTTGAAGATTGGTCCTCATCCATCTTAAAGCCTGTCTGCCCATCACGTACCTGGTGACAGAGGCCAATGGAGAGAGGGCTTCATTCCAGACTCCCCTGAAGGTGGGACAGCAGGAGTCGGGCCCAGAGTAGTCCTTCTTCCTTCTTCCCCTCCTCCTTCCTTCTTCCTTTTTTCTCCTTCCTTCTTTTTCCTCCTTCTTCTTCCTTCTTTTTCCTCTTTCCTCCCTCCTTCCTCTCAGATTTCTCCAAAGGACTGGGGTCTGACTCATTTTGATTGTGTTGGACAGAAGGAGTCAAG